AGAACTCCTGAGCTCAAGCAATCCACCCACCTCAGCCTCCCAGAGTGCTAGGCTTACAGGTGTGAGCCACTGTGCCTAGCCAGGGTGATTCTAAACTCTAGAAATTCAGGAATGTGATTTTATTTGTCCATTTAATCCTCATCTAGAAAAGAATGGCTGGGTGGCGCCTGTGGCTCAGGGAGTAGGCACTGGCCCCATATACCGAGTGTGGGGGGTTCAAACCCAGCCCTGGCCAAACTGCAACAAAAAAATAGCCAGGCATTGTAGCAGGCACCTGTAGTCCCAGCTACTGGGGAGGCTGAGGCAAGAGAATCACCTAAGCCCAAGGAGTTGGAGGTTGCTGTGACTTTATGGCACTGTACTGAGGATTAATAAGTAAAACTCTGGGCTTGGCGCCTGTGGCTGAAGTGGCTAAGGCACCAGCACATACACCTAAGGTGGTAGGTTTGAATCCAGCCCAGGCCTGCCAAACAACAATGAAGGCTGCAACCAAAAAAAATAGCCGGGCCTTGTCATGGGCGCCTGTGGTCCCAGCTACTTGGGAGGCTGAGGCAGGAGACTCGCTTGAACCCCGGAGTTGGAGATTGCTGTGAGCTGTAATGCCAGAGCGCTCTACCCAAGGGGACAGCTTGAGGCTCTGTCTCAAAAAACAAACAAAAAAATAAGTAAAACTCTGTCTCAAAAAAAAAAAAAAGAAAGAAAATAATGGCTATAAGCCACAGTTTGGGGTTATCATGTTAGGGCTAGCAGTGGAATGACCAAGTGAGTAAAAAACACCAAATCTAATGTGAAAAGCCAAACTTAATATTGGAAAGTCACCTGGGAAACACAGTGGAATCAGAGTAAGGGATGGCAGATCAGATGCCAGACCCTCCCTCTCCTAGTGAGAGAGGATACCTGGGAAGGATGAGGTCTAGGAGAACAGGTCTTCTCAAGGAGACCACAAGGATACAGCTCCAGGGTCCTCTCCATGGTGACTCAGCTCTTGAGAATTTGCAAACTTAATTTCCTGGAACTTGGAAATTTCCAAGTTCTGTGAAATCCTGTAGTTCAATAGGGGCTGGAATAGCATCTCCCACTTGATTCAAACTGGCCAATGATAGTGGGATGGAACTTTTTGACTGAATAAAAAGAGAAAGACCAAGCCAGTTGGGGAGTGAGGCCATTTGGAATTCTTCTATGCCCTAAGCTCCCGGCCGGTAAATAAAGCCCTTCCTCTTATAAATGTGGTGTTTGGGTGCTCTTTCTCTCCATTGGGCCTCATCTTCCTGCAACACTAGGACCTCCACCTAAAGATTCAAACCCCATCCTAAATATTTCCAATATCTGCTAGG